CTGGCACTGGCGCTTGTCGCCGTCTCAGGGTGTCTCTGCTTTGATGACCGGCAGGAATGGCGACAGCAGCGGCAGCAGTGGTGACGGCGGCAGCTATGCTAAGAAGCGCGGGATCATTGCGGGTTGAGGCACCAGATGTGCCCGCCATCCCCGCGCTTGCCTTCTCCCGCCCCGCATCCTCCCTCAGTTCCCCCCCTTCCCTTTCCGCCCTTTCGCTCTGCGCCTCCCCACTCTCCCTGCACTCCCCGCACTCTCCCTGCGCCTAGCCGCCCCCCGCCCACGTACTGTTGTCCCCCAGTGTGCTAGGCCGCAGGCGGGAAACTCTCCCGCAGGTTGCAAGTGCTGGGCCCCGAATGCGGTCCAGCAGCCGTGCATCCGCCAGCGAGCGCCAATAGCCCCCTGCCTGCGCCGCAACTCTCCCCAGCCTCTGCCGTCGCTCCTGTGGCCGCTGCCACCTGTGAATGCCCACCTGGCCACAGCCGCCTGTCACCGCCCCCGCCCCAGGTAGGTGAGGCCTGGCCCCCATGCCTGGAAACCCCGTCTGCCAGTTCCATTCCCCTGCGCCCCGCTGTCCCCTGCACACCTCCCCCAGGCGGTGTCCAGACAGACTTGAACTTACTCCGCACACTCCGCCAAGTTGCCCAATTGAAGGGCCAGATCATTCCTGCAGGGGGCGCCCTGCAATGCATCCTGTACCTCGAGTGTGTGTTTGGGGGCTGGGGTTTACAGTGCAGCTTCGTGGCCCTCTTGGCTTCCAGGACCCCAAGCTTGCAGTCAGAGGGACGGGAAAGTCCTGGGGGGTGGCGGGGCGGGTGGGGGTGGGGGCTGGGGACTCACAGCACAGCCCCTGAGGGTCCCCGGGTTTCAGGGCCGGGCAGTCAGAGCGCGCTCTAGAGCCGCTGGGTTCAGAGCTTGCTGTGCTACCTGTGGCCCTGAGGATTGGTTGCAGCGCCTTGGAGGGGATCCCTGAAGAGCTGAAGGACCCTATTCCAATCCTCCAAGGTTTGGGGTGGGGGGTGTCAACCTTCAGCGGGCTCAGTGAGAGCTGGACACAGAGGACAGGCGGCTGGTGAGCTGGGGAGCAGAGTTCTCACTGCTGCAGCGTCCACTGAAAGGTAGGAGCACTCATGTAGGTGAGCCAACTGGAAGTGGCCTCATAGCAGCCCCGTGTCCTCCCAAGAACTGTAGGTTCAGAGGGAAAGGGAATGCCCGACAAGGCCGTCCTCTGGGAACTGTGAAGAGCCCAGAGCCTCAACCCAAAAAGGAGCAAGGGGCAGAGCTCTAGGCTTACAGAGTCCCAGAGCAGGATGGCCTGAGGCAGCAGTGTTCTGGAGTGCTGGCCAGGCTAATGCCCTTCCTGGTTGAGAGAAGGCGGGGAACATGCAGGCTAGTTTCTGGGGGTTGCCTGGAGGAATGCCCTTCCCCTCGCAATGCAGGCTGGGCTCAGGAATGCAGGGCTCAGTGGCAGCTCTGGGGTCAGAGGTCTTGGAAGCTCTAAAGCCCATTCGTGTTGCAGCTGGTGCCCCAGGGCATGGAGAGGAGAGCATGCGGGAGGTGCCTGTGTGCACTGACGCCCAGGGCCATCTGTGGCCCATGAGGTCTGAGGCAAGGCCCTGGAGGAGGTTCAGTGCCACAGGCCTGCCCAGTCCAGACCCCAGGCTTCTGCTGAAGCAGTGAGGAGGACCCTGGCACAGCCTCTTCTGAGATGACAGGTCTTCTGCCAAGTCCTGCACCAGGGGCTGCAGCCCAACACTGTGTGGCACCAGGGACTGCAGTGGAGTGGCAGGGCAAGTTCAGTGTCCACAGTGTGGGTCTCTTGCTTGAGACCTGTCTCTACACTGGAGACATGGCCAAACTGACCGAAGCCTCCTCTGTGGAGCTCGGCAGGTGGACGGGCTGGTGGGTAGGCACTCCTCCCTCTGCTTTCTGTCCATACCCTCGGCTGGCTTGAAGCCTGTTACCTGGCTGTCCCCTGGGAGCATGAGGTCTGCCCTGAGGATCTTTACTGCTCAGGGACCATGGGTCATCAACTAAAGAAGTTGTCTGGAAGGCAAGTTATGTTGATTGGCAGGAGAGGGGTGATTTGTGCAGGGGAAAGGCCGGGCACTCCAAAGAATAAAAATCAGTGCCTCCTGATCAAGAAGCCATGGTCCTGTGTCTCTTTCAGGTCAAGAGGTAGAGGTTGAGAATCTTAACCAAAGGGACCATTAAAGGGCAATCCAATGAGGTAGGGGCCTCAGGTCCCACAAGCAAAAAATAAAAATAAAAAAAAAGAACATCTTTAATAAACTGAGGAAAGGTCAACAGTTCTTAGTGCTGTTTATAGGTCAAATAATATGTGACCATTGGATTATCAATATGGAGGGCACTTACTGACCTTGAAAAAGGCAGTTACTTAGATGGAGGACAGGTCGAGTTCCCGCCAAGGTGAAGGTGTAGGTAGAGACCCTTCACTTCCTCGCACAACCAAAAGGAGGATAACGAATACTCTAAAATCAGTAAATATCCGGAAGTGCCAGCAAATCAAACTGCATGGAACTCTGACAACCAAGGAATTAAAGAAACAGTCAACAAGAAAAACCAGACTGGTAAGGCAGTGGACTCAACGGGCAACTCAAAAAAACCATGAGGTGGCAGACCAGTGTGGCCGGGGCTGGGTCCCGAACTTCAGAGGGCTGCGCAGGAGGGGCTGACTTGAGGGGACTCAGACAGGAAAGAGTCTACTGAAAAGTGCCCTAGAGCCCATCAGACCAGCTGCACTGTTCCCTCTCTGGCCCCTCCCCCACAGGCAGCGCAGCAAGGAGGGTTGCCCTGCCCCGTGAACACTTAAGGCTCTGCCCCATACAGCGTATCAGCTCGGCCAAGACAAAGAAATATGGCCCAAAGGAAAGAACAGAGGAAAACCTCAGAACTAAGTGATGAGGAGATAGCCAACCTATTTGATGGAGAATTTAAAGCCCTGGTGATCAAAATGCTCACAGAACTGATTGAGCTTGGTTGAAAAATGAAAAAACAAATGAAGGACACCCAAAGTGAAATAAAGCTAAATATTCAGGGAACTAACAGTGACAGGAAGAAAACCAGGAGTCAAAGCAACGATTTGGAACAAAAGGAAGACATAAACATCCAACTGGATCAGAATGAAGAAACAAGAATTTGAAAGCATTATAGAGGGGCCAGAAGGAGAAGAACAGACAGCAAGAAACTGAAAATTTATTTGAACAAATAATGAAGGAAAACTTCCCCAATCTGACAAAGGAAATAGACTTCCAGGAAGCTCAGAGAGTCCCAAAGAAGTTGGACCCAAAGAGGAACACACCAAGGCATATCATCACTAAGTTACCCAACATTAAATATAAAGAGAATCCTAAAAGAAGCAAGAGGAAAGGAGATGGTTACCTACAAAGGAGTTCCCATAAGGCTATCATCTGATTTCTCCAAAGAAACCTTACAGGCAAGAAGGGACTGGAAAGAAGTATTTAAAGCCATAAAAAAGCAAGGACTTACATCCAAGATGACTCTATCCAGCAAAGCTATCATTTAGAATGAAAGGGCAGATAAAGTGCTTCCCAGATAAGGTCAAGTTAAAGGAGTTCATCATCACCAAGCCATTATTATATGAAATGTTAAAGAGACTTATTTAAGAAAAGGAAGGTCAAAACTATGAACAGTAAAATGACAACAAACTCACAACAATCAACAAAAGAACCTAAAAGAAAAGAAAGACAACAAGAACAAAAACTAAGCAAACAACCAGAACAGGAACAGAATCAGAAAAATGGAGATCACATGGAGGGATTTCAGTGGGGAGGGGGAAGAAAGGAATGGGGGGAAATGGTACAGGGAAGAAGAAGCATGGGTAGTAGGCATAAGGTAGATGGGGAGAGATAAAAAATGGTATGGGGAAAGAGGACTCAAAGGACTTATATGTAGAACCTATGGACATGAACTAAGGGGCGAGGAATGCTGGAGGGTTGCAAGGGCAGGATGGAGGGGGGATAGAGGGGTGAAAATTAAGAAAACTAATAGCATAATCAATAAAAAATATTTTTTAAAAAAGAGGGGGGACAGAAACAAGATTGGGTTGATTGAAGCACCTGAGAGGTAAGGAGTTTGAGAGGACATGGAGACTTACCATTTGTAAAACTGGCCTGTGTATTCAGCCGTATTTTTTTAGGTTCCTAAACATCATACTGCAATGTGGAGTTTTGTAGAATTTTAGAAAACTCCATTTGAGGCATCTATGTTCCTTTCCAGCTTGGAAAAAAAAAAAAAGAAAATGTATTCCCTGGTGCAATAGCCAAATGCTACTGAATGAATGTTCTGAAATTTTCCAGAATTTGCAGTGTCTCCAAAAACTGGGTATTAGAGCTTTGATTGTCATTTGGACACCTGGGATGATTTACTTGCACTTAAAATGCACTTTAAAATCATAGAAGGTAAAAACAGGTGAAATTTAAATATTAGTAGTAACAGTCTAATGAATGTCACATGGTGAAGAACTTGTTTTACTGTCTCCTTTCCTCCAATCTTCCATGTCTAGAAAGCAAACCCTAATAAGGAAAATAATTCAATCTGAGTGTAGACTATTTTCACTATTGCAGAGCAGAAACAGTCAAGTAACACTGGATTTTTAAAAATCATATACAAAGTGTTTACCTGTTGGGAAATCTCTTTTTATTTGGAAAAGAATAATGGGAATATTATTTTGTTAAAAAAAACAAAAGACTGAAGGTTTTCTTAAAAGTATTACAAGTATAATATTTAAATTTTGGGAGAATATTGCTTTTTTGTCTGACCTAATCACATCAGATTCCTCTGATCTGTGATGTCATGATGATAAAAGATCATTCATGGAACAAATTAGTTTGAAATTTGAATAAACAAAGCAATATGTATTTTTGACAACTTAGTATTTTCTTTCACATATTTAAAAATCATTAAATGGCTCTCCACCAAACCACCACCACCATCAGGACACAAGTCGTGTGCAACCTCTCATGCTAGCCAGGGTCACCAAGGTGCTGGGCAGGACCAGCTCCCAGGGACAGTGCACGCAGGTGCGTGTGGAATTCACGGATGACACGAGCCGCTCTACCATCTGCAACGTGAAAGAGCCCATGCGTGAGGGTGACATGCTCACCCCGCTGGAGTCAGGGTGAGAGGCTCGGAGACTCTGCTGAGTTGGCCTCTGGGTCCTGAATGTCTAGGTGGACCACGTGGCCCTGGGGATGGCATTCAACTGTTAATAAAGTGTTTGTATTGTATGTAAAGAATTATTAAATGGACTAATTATAATAACTAAGAAATGGTGCATGGCAGTTCTGGCCAAGATGGAGGCATAGTTAGAAACACTTCACTTCCTTGCACAACCAAAAAGTTAACAACCAATGTAAGAATAATAAACAACCAGAAGTGACAGAAAATCGAATGGCCTGGAATTCCAACAACCAAGGAATTAAAGAAACATTCATCCACACAGGTAGGAAGGGTAGAGACAGGAGTTGGGTAGCTGAGGAGAGTGGATGTGGAGCAAGGAGGCAGAACACGGGAATAAGCTGAGGCCAGCTGAATGGGAAACTAAAGACTCAAAGCTAGCTGTAAAATACTGTGGTGGTTGCCATGGCAGGAGAAACTCTCAGTCTCGCAGGAGAGTCTGTTGGAAAGTGGGGATAGAGCAGAACAAGCAGCAGCATTGTTGCCTCTCTGATGCCCCCCTCCCCCCCTCAAACAGTACCAGAACACAGCAAAGAGGGTTGCCCCACCCTGGCAAATACCTAAGACTCTGCTCCCTTACAACATAACGGGTGCACCCTGGCTGGTGTAGCTCAGTTGACTGAGCACAGGCTACAAACCAAAGGGTTGCTGGTTCAATTCTCAGTCTAGAGCACATGCCTGGATTGCTGGCCAGGTCCCCAGTATGGGGCATACGAGAGACAACCACATATTGATTATTGATATTTCTCTCCCTCTCTTTCTCCCTCCCTTCCCCTCTCTCTAGAAATAAATAAATAAAATCTAAAAACAAAACCCTCCAGAAAAAGAGCTAAGTGACAAGGAGATACACAACCTATCAGATGCAGAACTCAAAACACTGTTAATCAAGATGCTCACAGAATTGATTGAGCTTGGTTGCAAAATGAAGGAAGAAGTGAAGGCTATACAAAAGTAAAATAAAGGAAAATATTCCGGGAACAGCAGTGAAGGGAAGGGAACCGGGACTCAAATCAACAATTTGGAACAAAAGGAAGAAATAAACATCTAACCAGAACAGAATGAAAAAACAAGGATTCAAAAAAATGAGGAGAGGCTTAGGAACCACCGGGACAACTTTAAGCACTCCACCATCTGAATCACAGAGGTGCCAGAAGGAGAAGAACAAGAGCAAGAAATTGAAAACTTGTTTGAACAAATAATGAAGGAAAACTTCCTCAATCTGACAAAGAAAACAGACTTCCACTAAGCCCAGAGAGTCCCAAAGAAGTTGGACCCAAGGAGGAACACACCAAGGAACATCATCATTAAGTTACCCAAGATTAAAGATAAGAGGAGAATCTTAAAAGCAGCAAGAGGAGAGAGTTACCTACAAAGGAGTTCCCATATGACTATCAGCTGGTTTCTCAAAAGAAACTTCAAAGGCAAGAAAGGGCTGGAAAAAAGTATTCAAAGTGGTGAAAGGCAAGGACTTATATCCAAGATTACTCAATCCAGCAAAGCTTTCATTTAGAATGGAAGAGCAGATAAAGTGCTTCCCAGATAAGGTCAAGTTAAAGTAGTTCATCATCTCCAAGCCCTTATTATATGAAATGTTAAAGGGACTTATCTAAGAAATAGAAGAAGATCAAAACTATAAACAGTAAAATGACAGCAAACTCACAACTATCAAGAACAGAACCTAAAAAACAAAAATGAAAACTAAGCAAACAACTAGAACAGAAACAGAATCAGAGAAATGGAGATCACATGGAGGGTTTTCAGTGGGAGAGGGAGGGGAAGAATAGGAGGAGAAAGCTACAAGGAATAAGAAGTATAATTGGTAGGTATAAAATAGATGGGGAGAGGTTAAGAATGGTATAGGAAACAGAGAAGCCAAAGGACTTATATGTACAATCCATGGGCATAAAATAAGGTGGGGGGGGGGGAAATGCTGGAGGGTTGAGGGGTGCAGGGCTGAGTGGGGTGAAAAGGGAGAAAAAATTGGGAAAACTGTAATTAGCATAATTAATTAAATATGCCTTAGTAAATAAAATATCTGATACAATTTTTTCCACAAGCCATAATTAAAAATTTAAAATACTCTTTATAGGTGAGGAAAACAAAGCATTATTTCCCATTAAAAAATGAAGTTTTTTTAATTAAACATTTTATTTATTTTTAGAGAGAGGGGAAGGTAGAAAGAAAGAGAAGGAGAGAAACATCAATGTGTGAGAGAAACATGGATTGGCCTGCAACCAAGGCATGTGCCCTGACCAGGAATCGAACCAATGTCTTTTCAGTTCACAGGATGATGCCCAACCCACTTAGCTATACCAGTCAGGGCAAAAACCAATAAGTTCTTTTAACATGTAGAATTTTTTTAAAGAAACCCATTAGATTTCCTAATTAAAGGTAATCATTACAAATACATAGACATATATATGCATTTACATATTCAATAAATATAAACATCTGTATATGCATGTGTGTATATATGAAATAAATACATTTATGAGACATATTTATGTAAATGAGTGTATATAAAATAAAATGTACCCCAATCCCCCAATCCTCCAATGTGTGGAGTTTTTTAGCATTGGCTAACATGTGGAAGCAATTTATAAGCCCCCCAAAACAAATAGACAGCTAGATTGCTTTTGCTCCTGTGAAGTCCCTGAGAGAGAAGAAAAGAAATTTCTACCCACTATGATGAGAGGTGCTTTTTGGGAAATTCGCACATGTAAGTAGAACAGATTACATCCTCGTCATCACAGAGCTCAGGGCGGGAACTAGGATAACTCAGGTCTCCGAGAAGGCTGCATGCCCACCGGCTGTTGATTCTCCCCGCTCCAGTGGGCATTGCCCGCGCTTCCATGTAACCTGCAAGAGTCAGTGAAACATGGAATAATCTCAAATTCTCATAAGATCTCTTTTAGTTTACTTGTCCTTTCTTCTTTTGGTTTTTGTGGTTGCTGTGATGTTTCAGTATATACGGCAAGAAAGAAAATAGGTACAAAAACTGTCATAATCTCAAGTGGGCAAGTTTCTTGGAAAGATATTAAGTCCATAGCACTATCAAGGGCAAATAGACCGTTGCATTTTATGTCAAAAGCTCACTGATATCTTATCAATTGTGAAGAGAGAAAAGGCATGATGGGTCAGCCTGGTTAGTGGATCTCAGAACAGAGCAAAGAACCTCAAATTCCGCTCATGAAATTCCTTAAAGTTAGAAAGTGAGGGGAAGAAGGTGGAAGCACACCTTCCTAGGTGATACCTTCCTAGGTGACACCTCCTTGGTGGAGAGCGGGCCCTGGAGCAGCTGCGCAGAAGACAGGAAAGACCAAGCACTCTTGGGGGAGACTGACACAGATTTTCAACCAGGGGATCTAGGCAAGTGAGGCCATACCAAGCAATCCAGTGTCACCTAGGAAGGTGCCAGACAGCTAGAAGCAAGACACAATTAGTTGTTTCTTAGGAAAGTTTTTTCATCACAGTTTTAGGAATGTAAAGCTTGAAGTGCAATCAGATAAGATAAAGTGAGATAGAAGAGAGGATGCAGAAAAAGTCAAAATCAAGACTTCGTTTAATGCAGAATAGTAAACAGTAGATGCCTACTTTTGACTGAATAGTTGTGTTTTATAATTATATTGAAATAATATTTATTAATATGTGTGGCTTCATATATCTCATAGAAGTCTAATTTCAAAGCTACTTTTAAAGTGGCACAATAATTAGTCCCAGAATTGTCTGCTGTTGATGAACTATTCAAATTCCTGAAATTGTTTCAATTATTTGGTGTATACTAAAAGGTAGCATATATCCCATCTGATGTCAGTGGCTGGGATTATGCTTTTAGAATACTAATTTCCGTCAGTGAACACTGCTTATTCAAACCATACAAGCACTATTATTTTATTACTGAACAAATAGGCAGCAATGAACAGAGAAACAAGTACCTCCTGCCTATTTGTACACAGAAGTGAGGCAAGAAGATCTCTGCACTCAGTGAGCTTATAATTCAATTGGAAAGATAAGGCAGACATACTTTATATAAATATGGGTTAAATAAACCTTCAGTTGTCCCAACCAGGTGAATACCTAAGGCTCTGCCCCTCACTACATAACAGGCTCGACAAAAAAAAAAAAAAAAAAAAAAAAAAAAAAAAAGGCCCAAACAAAAGAACAGATCAAAGCTCCAGAAAAAGTATAACTAAGTGACAAAGAGGGAGCCAACCTATCAGATGCACAGTTCAAAACACTGGTGATCAGGATGCTCACAGAACTGGTTGATTATAGTCACAAATTAGAGGAACAAATGAAGACTACACTAAGTGAAATGAAGCAAAATGCACAGGAAACCAATAGTGATGGGAAGAAAACTGGGACTCAAATTAATGGAGTGGACCAGAAGGAATAAAGAAACAACCAAACAGAAAAGAATGAAGAAACAAGAATTCAAAAAAAATGAGGAGAAGCTTAGGAACCTCCAGGACATCTTGAAACATTCCAACATCTGAATTATAGGGGTACTAGAAAGGGAAGAGGAAGAGCAACAAGTGGAAAACTTATTTGAGCAAATAATAAAGGAGAACTTCCCCAATCTAGTAAATGAAATAGACTTCCAGGAAATCCAGGAAGCTCAGAGAGTCCCAAAGAAGTTGGACCCAAGGAGGAACACACCAAGGCACATCATCATTACATTAGCCAAGACTAAAATGAAGGAAAGAATTCTAGAAGCAGCAAGAGATAAGGAGACAATCACCTACAAAGGAGTTCCCATCAGATTGTCAGCTGATTTCTCAAATGAGACCTTATAGGCAAGAAGGGACTGGAAAGAAGTATTCAAAGTCATGAAAGGCAAGGATCTACATCCAAGATTGCTCTATCCAGCAAAGCTTTCCTTTAGAATGGAAGGGCAGTTAAAGTGCTTCTCAGATAGAGTCAACTTGAAGGAGTTCATCATCAC